TAAGTAGGTGCTTTAGACCACTGAGCCATCTCACCAGCCCCTCAGATTCTATCTTAATAAAAAACGCTGTAAAAAATTAAACACTCCAAGTACCATATTTTCACTGCATGACTTTTGAAGGGTTAGCAGAAATTAGAAATCTTTGAAGAATCACTTCAAAAATTAAGATTGAAGCTTTACAATTGTCTCTCAAAATTACAGGCAAATCTTGATTGACAGAAGTTAACAAAAATTTAAAATAATGAACACTCTGCCAGACCCATGATCTACCAAATCTAAGATTAGGACAATCTTTCTAGGTACGCTCACTTGTTCCAACTAGCCCATAGCCTGTTCACAGTTCCCCAATGGCTCCATGTACCCGCTGAATATACTTTTTTAAAGAGCAGAATATATTTACTGGAGGAAAGGAAGCTTCTCTCTGACAGAGGAACAGAAAGGGACCCAAGTGGGTTGCCCAAATAGACTTTCTTTTATGTAGCATACAAAGTACCCTTTCCTTATCAAACATCTTGCCAATTTAGACTCCCTTGTCTCATCATTATTTATATGCCTTCACCTAAAAAATCAGCTTCAACAGTGTTTTTTCATCTGTGATACCTTGGCTTCTGTGTACCACTGACTGACTATATACCATCTCTATACCATGATTTATGAAGATCAAAAGTAGCTGCCAACATTTAAAAAGTCTAAAATTTTTTAGATTAACATCTAAATTTTTGGGCCGGGGAGATGGCTCAGTAGAATAAGCGCTTCCCTGGCAAGCGCAAGAGTCTGAGTTCAATCACTGCTTCTGCTAAAAAAATTAAAAGTCTAAATTTTGTGTGTGTGTGAAGTTCAGATAGTGAGTGCATACTTCCCCTTGGGAACAATGGAGTACAAAGACCCACAGTTCTTCTCAGATGAAACATGTGGTCTATTGTTTCTTCCCTCTTTACCTGAGTCCCTCCCACTTGCATTCAGTGCCTGCTTCCCAGTGGCAATGTGGACATGACGTCCTCTGAGCAGTCTCACATCCACTGGCATTTTGTACTGAAAGGATGTGATGAAACAGCACAGGTTCCTCCACCTGTATTTCCTCCTCGAAAACAGAAGAGGCACTAACAAAATATTAAGTTATCTTGAAACAAGAGTGATGTACCTCTCCCAAGTTAATCATTTTAGCTGCTTTTCTCTGGACCCTGCTTATGTAATACTGTGACCAGAACAGCATCTGGTATTATCTATAAACATTCATGTGAGGGGTCAGGGAGATGGCTCAGTGGAATTTTCACTTCCCTGGAAAGTGCAAGGGCCTGAGTTCAATCCCTGGGGGCAGGGAAATGGCTCAGTGGAATAAGCGCTTCCCTGGCAAGTGCAAGGGCCTGAGTTCAATCCCCAGTTCTGCAAAACAAGCAAA